AAGATGGAAAATTTCCCATTTCATTATATATAAATTCAGCTCGATATAGTGATTTTTAATATAAACTCTTGATATAATCATATAGTGAAGTTTTACTCGGTACCATTATATTTAAATGGAGCTTGATATAGTGAAGTTTTTAAAAAAACATGTAGATCATTACTTAATTTATAATAATTATAATAAATTTAGTTAATTTGTCGCAAAATTTTCCTTGTATTAAAAATAAATAATCATTCAATTAAAAATAAATGTAATCATTTGATTAAAATGAGATAATAAACATAATCATTTGGTTAAAAGATGGTGCCATGGAAATGGAAACAATTCAAGAAGAATACAATGAACTTCAAAAATTTAATTAATCAATTAGAGAATGTTGAAGTCTCTAATAAATTGAGTGCAGAAGATTTTATTAAAGTTGAGGTAGAAATTCAAGAATTTAAAGATATCGAAATTACTGATGAAGAAATTATCAGTTATGTAAAATCAATTCCTGAACCTGAACCAGAAGATGAAGTAGCTGTTGAACAAAAAATTGCTACCATCCTTTCTTATGTTTTCTTATATTCAAAATCCACCCGAAAATCTTACTTTTGAATTAAAACACATCAATTCAATAAAATCAGTTAAAGGTCATATATCATCCAAACATGCTCTTGCTTCTATAAAGCAAAGCAAATTGAATCGTTGGTTTACTACTAAATAAACGAATATTATTATTTTTTTTTTATATTACAATTAATATTAATATTATATTTGTAACACAAATAAAAAATTGCCGATCTTTTTATATAGTGAAGTTTTTTGCCAAAACCAACTCTTCCTTATATCGAGCGCCGACTGTACAATTAATTTTCGATTATAGCATCTGTAAAACTAAAACTAATATAAATATATAAAAGAACGTTTGAAGTTTTTTATGCAACCAATTCCCTTGTTTGTATTTCCTTTATCAAGATTTTCATAATAAACTGAACACAGACTTTACATACATTCTTAACTTAATGCTAATAATTAATTATTGCGGAATATTCACAACTCGTTTCTTCTCTAATAACACTGACCCTATCACAATTAATTATTCCTTCTTCATAACCACATCCATCATCTCTACTTCATCGGAACTTTCCTAGTTCTCTTGAGTATCAAAAGATGATGATTATCGTTTCAATTAAATCAAATGTGTAATAAATATATCTAATAATTTGTAAAAACAAATGACGCAAAAATCAATATGATTGTTAAAGATATGGCATTTAATGCTATCACTCCGTAAGCAAATCAACCTAAAGGTGGAAACTTTCCCTAAAAGAAATATGTTGATTTTTGCATATATTATATAGGATGTGTAGCAACTTCTTTGTCTTTTTGTGCTGCATAACCAATGACTCCTTCAGTTTCAGTAATTGCGTCTTCAGTAGTTTCGATAATTTTAAAGCCTGCTGAAGCAATTGTGTCTGTTGCTCCTGAAATAATTTCTTTTCCATGTTCATAGGTTTCTATTATTTCTGATTCTAGCTGTTTCGTTGTTCTCCTTTTCTTGTTAATTAATTAAAAAATATTGTTAGTAATACTGTAATTAATGGATAGTAATTTCCAATTAATAATGAAATTTTATTCACCTTCAACATTTAAGAGAAGAGAGTTAATATCAATGCTATTTAATGAACTATCATTACTTGTATAACTTTTTAAGTTTTTTAATTCAGAAATTTCTTCATCTAATATTCTACTTAGATTTGTGTATTTGTTGTGAATCACTACCATACTCCTGCTGTTACTATCATTATTTAAAATCAATTTCATCGTTTAAAATGACTATTCCGAAATTATGTAATAAGCCATCCCTGTTTCTCACAAATTACATCCAGTGCTTTAAACTCAAACAGAGCATAAAACAGTTATCCCCAGGTCATGTAAGCTCCCTCCCCACCGAGGGGCCCGCCAAGGCTTTCTGGGTATTTAGTTATGTCAAAGCAAGGAACAATCATTGGTGATTTAATTTTGCAAATTTATTGCCTGAAAATAAATATAATATTGTGTTGTGTTGTTTATTTCGTTTTAAATGACAACTACCAACCTCATAAAAAAACCTTTTCCTGGATTACTTGAATTACCACTAGCTTTCCTAAATAACTAACTCCTTTTTATTTTCATCATAATCAATTATTGCATCATACAATTTAAAAGTAGTAGAGCAACTTGAAATGCAAACAATGAAGGATTGCCAACACCATCAAATTCAAATATAGGTCATAGGTTAGAAAGAAGCATTGCCATGAATTCATTTATTTTAAAAATGAAATGTTGATTAAAGCTTTGTATTTGTTTAATAGACAAGATGATATAAGTAAATCACATTCTTTCAAAATGGGGAAGATTGATCACTTCATTTTTGACATAAAATTTAAAAAATACTTTTTCAAGAATATTGCAAGGGAGACAAGATGATGTAGCAATGGAAAACTAACTGACTTTTACAATCTAGCTTGACTTTTTTGCTTTTATAGACTTCTAGGGTGGTGAAAGCAACTAGAAGAAAATTGATTTACAGATAGTATGTATGTCTTGGAAGTGTTATTGAACTTAGCCATTCAGAATGTGTATACAAAATAAAATAATCAAGAACCGAGAGCAAACCATTCCAAACCAGGGTTTGGTAATAGAATGTGTCCATTGAGGCCTGGATCCAATTGAGCATCAATGGACTGGTATCATGGTCAACCCTGCTCCAACCAGCAAATGCATACTCAATAGTTATCTAATGCATAACTTCAGTGCAATTGGGCTCCAAAGCTAGTAAGGCCCTTTGTAAATATTTTTGTCATATATTCATTCACAATAATCGCTGTTTATGGTTCTTATTACTTTAGTTACATACAGATTAAGATGAGTTATTGGAACCGGTTCCAACCTCTAGTTTGTATACAAATGTGTATATGCATATTTGGATAATTAAGAATAAATTATATTTTCGTTTTTATTTATTGTTATTAGAAGATGATAATAAAATCAATTCCCTTTCTATATCTGAAAATATTTTTATACCAGATTCTAATGAATCAATTAAAACTTCCAATCTATTTGAATCAAGGTTTTGTTCCTATTCAAATATCCAAAATTTAAATTTAAAAGAAAATATTTTTTAAATCTTTAAAAGCTCAAATAATATCATTATTAATTCCCCAAACCTTTCTGATTTTATCCAAGTCTTCACCAAATCCATTTGTTAATTGTGACATATAATAATCACGAAAGTTTTCAATAGTTGGTGAATAGCCCAGTAATGGGCTTGGTATCGGATCTTTAAAGCTATTATTATTGTTCTTTTTGACATTATTGTCATTCTTGTTCTTGTTTTTGTTATATATTGATTTATCTGCATTTTTATTATTATTATTATCTTCTTCGGTTGATTCGTCTTCCTCACTTTCTGATATTTCATCTTCCTCACTATTTGATTCATTATTTGATGTATTAGAAACATCTGAATTTTCATTAGAATCAGAGTCTTCGTCAGAAATGATACTTAATTCTTCACCAGAATTATTGGAATTATTTGAGTCTTCCTCGAAATCTTCTTCCTCGGATTTTGAAGAATTCATTTTAAAAATATTTTTTGATCGACAGATGAGCAAATTCCTAATAATAATTCTAAAAAAAATATGAAAAGAAACAATTCCTATAGTCATTACAGATCAAA